AATTTTAATCCTGCAAATATTATAATATTTAATAAATATAAATCATTTAATAAGTTAAATTTCATATAATTGGCACTTTCAATACTATGTAAGCATATAATAGTTATGTTTTCAAGTATTAATTCGTTGTTTACATTATATAGGTTAAGAAACAACGATTTATTTTTTATGTAATCATATAAAAATAAATAGTAATATATTACATCATTTATCATTATGATAAAATATTTATAATGTGATACTACGGTAATCTATTATTAATTAAATATAAAAGAATGTATTAATATAGTCCTGTTAACCTCTAAATTATGAACTATAGTACACAACACAAACTTACTGTCTTGCACTGATGTCATCCTTTTAAAGCGAGTATCTTATATTTTCGAATATGTATAGTATAAATATCAAAAAATTCTAAACGAATCAAACATTAGAAATTTTGTCTCGTTTAGAATTTTTTACGTTTGACAGTTTATACGTGATCTATACAAAAATGAATTCTGTCTATTCTGCATGTAGATTACTGAAACGTGGAATGCGCGGACAGCTGATTTCAAACTTGGATGCGAGGAATACGAGAAACAGAAGTGTAATGGCGGATGCAAAGTAAGCTGTCAAAGTATGGTGCATTATATTTTTCCTTTTCATGAACGATTAAATATAGTTCATCGAAGATTAAGTAAAAAGGTAGCAAATATGCGTTGAATAAGTGAAATTATGAAATAAGTAATGCAATCTATGTAATTTGTATATATAACTAAAAGTGAGAATTTCTTGTATATACCAATTAATAACTCTTAAAACAATTTCTACTTTACCATGATGAATAATCGGCGGCGAACAAATAACTTCACTTATGTTAGTTCTTGTGTGAAGTATATGATATTTATGCTCAATTTTGTTTTTTGGGTTAGTAAATGTTTTATATTTCTCATCCTATTAATTATCTTATCATTATTATCACTAATAAATAAAATATAAGCAGACAGTAAGCAGAAAATTATGTATTACATGTATTTGTTATTTATAGATAAATCTTATGAAAAAATCTTATTATATGTAGAGAAATCTTATGAGAATGAAATTTTAAATGTTTTATTTTGTTGTACAGTTATTTGGAGGCCTTTTAATTGGAGTAGGTTTATATGCATTTGTGGATAAATGGCAAGCAACTGGTTCCGTTAGAGTAGAAAATGTATATGATGTGATCCTTAATATTTCACTTGTGATGGTTATCGCTGGAGGAGTAGTCTTTGTTGTTAGTTTTGCAGGATGTGTTGGAGCATTACGCGAAAATACTTGTCTTCTTAAATTTGTTAGTATTATCAGACATATCGTTATATTAAGCAGTTTATTAACACACAAGTAATACTTATTTATTGCAGTATTCACTATGTCTATTGGTATTCTTCTTGCTTGAGATGGGTATTGCAATTGTTGGTTTTGTATTCCCACATACATTGCAATCATTATTGGAGGAGTCATTTACAGATAAAATCATACAAACATATAGGGAAGATCCTGATCTACAAAATTTTATTGATTTTGGGCAACAAAAAGTAAAGACTCTTATAAACAAACATTTATTAAGGTATATTATTATAATTAATAATATTTAAAAAATCTATATTTTCATGAACAGTTTAGATGTTGTGGTTTAAGTCAAGAAGGATACTTGGATTGGGGAAAGAATGAATATTTTAATTGCTCCAGTCCTAGTGTTGAACGTTGTGGTGCACCATTTTCATGTTGCATTAATGCTACAGACATATCAGTAAGTACAAATTTTTACATTTTGTTAATGAGATCATATTGGAATTTAAAACATTATTGAAATGTTTAGAGTGGTCTTGTGAATATAATGTGTGGCTATAAAGTGCAAATGTTACCAGTATCTGAAGCAGGCAAGAAAGTATGGACTAGCGGTTGCATTGAAATTGTACGAAGTTGGGCAGAACGCAATTTGTACACAATAGCTGGTATTGCTTTAGGTATAGCTCTTAGTCAACTTTTTGTCATATATCTTGCCAAGACATTGGAAGGTCAAATTGAATTGCAAAAGTCTCGTTGGCATTCCTGAGCTTGACTTCAGGCCACCTACCGCTATCAGATTCATTCTCCTCCCAGCAGGCAGGTGGCCAGTGGTCGAATAAGAGGCCAAGACAATGAAACAAATGTAAATGTCCGGATGACTTTACTTGTTCTTTTTGCAATCTCTGTATACATACTTTGTATTCTTTCTTTGATCAGACTTGTGCTTTACTTCAGAAACTATTTTCATGTATATTTAAGCAAAGGCTAGCTTTTATTTTCTTTTATATATTATTCTATTTTTATAACTATTTCCTTTTATCTCCATTACTAACTTATCTTATATCTTCATCGAATCTATATCGATAAATTGTTAAGTGATAATTATATATTTTCTTTCTCGAAATTTTATATAACTCGCATAATCATAGGCTGGTTACTTTTAAAGTACAGTAATTCAACCTAAAGTAGGATATCTGAAAGTGAATATTATTCAATCTACACATTTAGTTACATATAAAATTTGTTGCAAAACTTATTCACATATGAAGAATTTTTAATTGACATAAGATTAATTAAATTAATGCTATTAATCATGTATAAGACGGAATTGATTTTATAAAAATATTAATTCTTTCGTTATACATAATTTATTATATATATGTATTTATAATACAAAGTTCATATGTTGGTAATTTTTGCATCAAAACTTTAAACCATTATTCGCACATTATATGTAATAATATTATAAGTATTAAAACATTAAGCCTTTAAATATCCTACGAAAGACTTACATTAAATAGTTTAAGAAGTAGATTCAATTCATAAGAGATACATGATTTTTATATTAATATTTTTTTTATATATTCACATAATTATTTGTGAAAAATTTCACCGTGTGTGTCACTACGTGAAACTTTTATAATTTCATAACGTATCAATTACTCAATTCGCCAAAATGTAATAAAATAATGATACGGTTAAAACACGCACATGGTTAAAAATATTATTCAATATCTCTCTTGCTATCTATATTTATCTTTTTTAACATTTATATAAGCACATTACAAGATATTAGTAAGTATATAGTTGTTTCTAAATCGATATTGTTGATTCTTTTATTATGCTATATTAGTGTAATTGAAGTAAGTCAAAAAAGGAAAGAACGTCCAGTGCCAAAGTCAAAGTATCATCATTGTTTTATTTGAAGCAAACTTGACAATAATCTGGTGTAAATGATTTGTTTATTAAGTACATACATAGTACATCTGCGTGTCTTTTTATCAAGAGTAAATGTAAAACTGATATATATAAAACCATCTAGTTTGTAATAAACAAATATTATTCTAAAACTGTGTTCTTACCACTATCAATAAATTGTTGTATACTTATAAATCATATTTTAAGAATGTATAGATCAAAAGGAAAGAAATTGTTATTACTTCTTGTAAATATTTATTTATATAAAGTAGTATCTACAAACATACTATCTGAATATTCTAAAATAACACTTTGTCCATCTATAAGTTCCGAATTTTCAAGCAATTTTATTAATGGTGTATCCATTTCATTACATATTAGTGCACCAGTTATATGATGAAATAATTGCAGTTTAGATGCTCCTGCTACATTATTATTGTTGGATACTTTTAATATATCAGCTATTGAGTCTATAGCTTTCCCAATTGTCCAGTTCATATTCACATAAATACCTTTAGATGGTCCTATATGTTTGTTAGATATTGTAGTTGGGAGATATACAAGAAAATAACATCTTTCATTTACTGGTACATTTTTTGAACCAACAGCAGAACCCTTTACACGCATAAGTCTTACCTAATTAAATAATAATTAAATATACAAATATGTAACATTTTTTGTTAACTATTTAAATGATATAACATACTTTATTGGCCATTGTAGTATTTTTGGATTTCTTCAAAGTATCTGAAATTTCTTGATCTACTATAGCTTTTGCTTCAGCAAATTGTTTTTTTGGAATTTGCCATTTTTTCAACTTTGTTGTTTTTTCTTCATTAGTATATTCCAGGCAGCCATGATATCTATGTTGTAGACAAAAGTGTTTCTTACATTTGATGCATTGCATTTCAATGGGTGAAGTTTCTTTGCACAATTCATCTGAACATGTATAATTTGGTGCTCTTATTTTGGTATATGTGATCTTATCTTTCAAACCTAGACACTTATGAGAACCTATATGAAAATGTTCCTTGCAAAATAAGTCATGGCAATGATTGCATTCAAATGGTAAAAAATTTAATTGTTTGCAATCTTTGATTGAACATCTCTCCCCAACATTTGGAAACTCCATTTTTAAATCTATAATATAAGATACGTACAATACGTACACTATAGTAGAAACATAATTTAAATAAATTATTAATGTGTCACTAGTGTCCAGTCGTTATATGTATATAATAAGTTATTACCTATATTTAATTATGAGACGGCGTTGGTGAATGTAAATGGTTCTCACTGAGAGTTCCTAAAGCTAGGTTATTCCACTTTTGTTCTAATTCCTTTAGTGTCATATGAGAATCACCGTTGTCACTTTCGGGATCAGGTAATTCTTGATTTGGCACTACAATATCGTCAATAGGCAAACGCTCTTTATGCCAGATCTCGTCAATCAAATCTAATAATCTACCATCTCTGCACACTTGACTGTCCATACCGCAAAATATAATATTTTTTCAATATTTTCTTCTATTTATATAAAAACAAACTAACAAAATAATATATTCGATTATCAATTATAATAAATTTAATAACATTGAAAAATCTTTGTCACTGTCATAGCGTAATAAAGATAGCCAACTCTATGTCTAAGATCGTACACTAAATGTTGCTATCGTCTGCTACCGTCGATTAAGAAGATTTCACGATCAAGAAATAAGTAGTATTATCAGAGAGGATATTCCTCTCTGGTATTATGTATCAAAATTTAGTAAAATGCATACATATTTTATTTTTATTCAACATTCTTACATTAAAGTACTTAAAACAATTTCAGTTGTACTAATAATACTATTATTTAAATTGTTTAAAATTATTTTTTTTATGATTACACCTATTAAAGAAATTTCAAATTATCAATAAGTTTTAATTAGAAAAATAATTTAGTCCTTTGGTACATAATTTAATTATACAATTTATGACAATCTATGAGTCGGGTTTTCCCACGATTTGGTTGTTTGTTATCACCATTCACTATAGTCAACTCTTTGCAGTCATTCTTCATAATAAACGATTACATATTTCCTTTTAGTTTTGTATTAGCCATCTTGTTTCTTATTTTCATTGGATAATCGATTTGGATCACGTTTTTCGCTTAATTTGTTGCAAACGCCTTCTTTGATATCGCATGATAGTCCGTCGGCGCAAGGACAAAGGATGTAATAGACATCCTTTAATGTCAATGCAGAACCATCTGGATATCCAAGGGTCACGTTAAGCGTTGAAACGTTACCTGGTCTACAAACTTCTCCCTCTTTTTGCATAGCTTTACATTGTGGTATACTATACCGCATTGCCCCTAGAATTACACGTTGACGACATTCTTTTTTCTTAAACTAATAATTACCTTTGATTAATTTATTAACATCTTATTGAAAAACAATAAATACCTATGGTACAACAATAGCCTGGTTGACATTCTGTGTTGCTCTGACAACGTATATAATCCGATTGATCAGCTTGCGCGTTGCAGGGACATGTCAATGCGAATAAAAAAACAGAAATCACAAAAATTGGCGTCATCATTGTTATTTTTGCTCGCTGACTCCTGCAACGAAAACGCATCTCCTTTTTTTTTTTTATTATTCACAATAATTTCAACATTATATACAAGCCACATATGATTTAATAAAAATAATTATCTGTAGGATCGACTGTACCTATTATTTTAACGCGATATCTTTTTTCATTCTTCATGCACGATTTAATTTTACAATTATAGATATTGTTTTAAATGATATATCTTAGGAGGTATATAAATAACGTTACATAGGATCGTCTTATATGGAGCTATCTTTGTCAGAATTTCACGATTAGTCACGATAGTCACGCGTTGATCGTAAAGTTAAAATATAGATAGAGGATGCAGTATTCAAAACTGTATTTAATACTTGTCTTAATTTCGATGTTCCAGAGATATCGCATTATACTATTTGATTACCGTGACCTTCAACTTTCTTTCATTCGTAATAATATGTCACTATAAATTACACAATTTCCGTGAATAGTGTAATAAACTAAATTGTTTTGAGGAGATAGTCCATAGCTATCGTGATGTGTCAAGACTCGAATCATGCAGTTGTGAATGATTTAAAATTAGAAATCAGAATAATAATGGAATTGGAATTCGTTAAATTGCATTCGAGACAATTAAAATATCATATAAAAATATCGACAATATCGTAGAAATTTCATATAGAGTAAACATTTACTACAAATACTACTGTACAAAAATTGTATATAATTATAATAGAAAATTTTAATAAGAAAATTAATTTAGTTAAATGGTTGTGTTTAAAATTTCAGTGGACCACAGTGTTTTTACAAAAGTAGTGGACAAAGCAGCAATGGACAAAGTATTTTTTACAAACTTCAAAGATAGCAAGTCTATAGTGTTACGTTTACAAATACAATCATTCGTAATCACGTTTAATTAATCTAAAACACTTTTTAATCGCGAACACCAGTTTTTCCTGTTCGCTTTTTCGTTTAAAAAAAGAATTGAAAACATAAAACTGTATGTACGTACATATGCGCGAACACTTACGAATCTTGTACGCAGTCTGCAGTCGGCAAACACTTGTTCACATTTGATCGCACAAATCGATGGCCTCTCTTTATATCGGCAGCTTCTCCGCTTCTTTTATTCCTCCAAACAAACGGTTCGCGCGTATTTTTGATCAAAATAAGACTTCCGTTTGACGCGCCTCTGTATCTGTCAAATTAATTGCATTATACTGTGAAAATGTATTTTTAAAAGTAATTGAGTGATACAGAGTATTTTATTTTAATATAAAGAAACGGTAACTTATCGATCAAAGTAATTTATACTTGACATCATAAAAAAATACGCAATACGTAATTAATTTCTGCGATCTTCTTTTAATAAATTTAATGCGATGTGAATCATATATTCGACGTATGTAAATGATAAATTCAACAAAAGATCGTCTATTTATAATTATGTTATTACGTAATCAATTGAATGGAAATTCCAAGATGTGAGATCGCATCAGATTCTGAAAACATACGTAGATCGATAATTGATGTTATTGTTTCGCATTAATACGATGATGTCGATCAGCAGAAGTGCATAAATATTGACAATATACCAATCTAATTTACATTTGCTAAAAAAAAAATCAAGTTTCGTAAAAAAATACACAAAATTAGTCATTCAATTAGCGTTTAATTTGATGTTTTTTTAGTTAAATAGAGATACGTGAAACATGTCAGGTACTTATACGTAAAATTGTTATTTGTACATTGGTATTGATATATAAAACTGCTATTAAGTATTTCCTCATTTTTGATTACTCATTTTCTAGTTTATGTTATCATGGGACCAGCATTTCCTCCAAACAATTTACATAATTTGTATTCACCTGCGGGTATTAGTAATTGCACAAGTTCGATTCGGTTCTGACCGATTTGGTAACGTTAATATATTTCGGTGCTTCTCCGCTAGATGTTCTTACTACTGTCGAACACAGACCAAAACTGTCCCTTTCTATAGATAGAATAGGTGAAGCTGGAAATAACCTCATATCATATGCAAGGGATTATGATGTTTTCGGTTTTTTGGGGTTACAACTATTTATAAAATGAGCTATTCCATTATGTGCCATTTAAAATGGTCGAATACACATTAACGCCGTTAAACACAAGATAATTCATTGCTGTATCTTTCAGCATTAATTAACAATTTAGCAAGAAATTACTAATTCCGTGATGGAACAAATACTTTTGTGAGATCGGTGATTCCACCTTTATTTTCAATTTTCATCTATTCAATCATGGTAATTTATATGTAATTATACAACATTTAAGAAATATGTAAAGATTTTATATTCAAAATAATTAAATGTTTTAGGCTCTCTTAGGTGCTCAATTAGTTATAACACTGATTATGGTCAGTGTTATCCAAAAAGTAACTCCACATTTTTCTTTGGCAAGATGGATTTTATGTTCTACTGGGTAATTCTTTAAATAATGAGAATATTGACTATATATGATATCTAGAATTAACAAAAGATATTATAACTAATAGGTTGACACGTTACTTGTATCCAACTGATCAACAGCTTAGAACTCTTGCTGGTGTGCCTAAAGAGAAACCCAAGAAAGGTAAACATACTGAAAATGGGAAGGTTGGAGATGTTTTTCATGTTCCTAGAAATTTGGATATCACGCTTGAGAGTGCTAAGATAACTACGTTAGATGTAGTGCATTTAAAATATTATACAGAGTGTCAGTGGTTATTGGACTTTTCTATCTATGCTACTGCAGTTTATATCATGACAGAGGTTGGTAATTATACCTTCTTTTCCTTCATATCTGTATTTCCATTGATACTTTGTAGTTGTATTTATTTGCTATTTCACAGATATATAATTATTTATATCCAATCAAAGATGAAATTAATCTAAGTATGCTTTGGTGCTCACTAGTTCTGGGTTTTGCATTGTATCCTTTTTATAGTTGATTTATATTATTATAATAGCACACAGATCTCTTCAAAAAGTATGTTCCTTATTTAATATTTAGTAAAGTGTTACTTTCTCTTTGGGTGCAATACTTTAAGGGAGAGGAGAGTATAGGTGAAAGGTCTACATGTATTGTAACTGGATTTGCTTATCTTCTCATAGCTATGATGGTTCTTATTGTTGATGAAAACAACCTTGAAATTGGATTGGATAAAGCTTATGCAAGTTTCAATCATAGTGCATCTCTTTTTCTAGATAATCAAGGTCTTTCTTCTACGTAAGTTTATAAAATTCATGCAAGAATGTTTGTAAATTATCGTATTTTTATTTTATTCAAATAAAGTCATGAAATAACTTTTCTTTCATAGAGGGCCAGCATCAAAAATTGTAGTAAAGTTCTTCCTTGCTTTGTGGTGTGGTTTACTTGGTTCTTTGTTTACTTTCCCAGGATTAAGAGTGTCAAGAATGCATTGGGATGCATTGAGGTATTAAAAGTAAATAAATCTTTAAATTATGCAATTTAAAAAAAATTATATATTTCAGATATTATAAAGATCAAAAGTTGTTATTGTTAATAGCAAACATCAGTTATGCCTCTCCACTTTTATTAGTAAGTTTATGGATTAAGCCTGTAAGCAGAGATTACCTTACAGTCAGAATATTTAGTGGTATGAATGGACCATTGTAAGTTAAGAAATAATGATTACTACAATACACTTATCCATACAAGTTTCTCTTTCTACATGTATTTTTGCAGGATGACAACTTCGGCTTTTGAGAGTATGAGATTAATTGCAATTATAGTTGCAGTTCTGTTAAAATTTGTATTAATGCCAATGTACTTGCAATCGTATCTCAATCTAGCTATGCAACGGTTAGAGAATCAAAAGAAAGAAGCTGGTAGAATTACAAATGTTGATTTGCAGAAAAAGGTATCAAAATTAAGTGATATATAATATTAACACTTAGCCAACCGCGCACGCCACAGTGAAGTATACATTTTCCACCCTGTTCGAACAAGCCAACCTATACGCTGTCCACCTCGCATTTTTCCAAGTATCGAGGACTAATATTCACTACTTAAAAAACGAAGAAGTCTAAAAATTACTTAAATGGTCAATTATATTTTGCGGTAATGATTTTATTTAACGACTTCACATATTGTTTATACAAAACATCAAATTAAAAGTATGTATTAAAAGTATAAAAAAATATAGGTAAAATTAAAAACATTAAAGATGGCTAAAGATAAATAATACGACTTGAACGTGAAATTAAAAATTTATAATGCATTTTAATATTTTTTTACAATGTGGTGTCGTTCGATTATAACTCTATTTAGTTATAACTGATAGTGTAACTTTTTAATTAATTTTAACACCACTAAATCGGTGTATTTTATTATATACTGTACTTTATAAAAGCAGAAAAAGTGGCGCAATTAATTGGGAACAATTCCAGGTAAATAATAACTGATAATAACAAAAAAAAAAGAAAGGAAAACGCGTTACAAAAGTCAAAAAGGGAGATCTCTCCGTTCGGTCACGCAGCGATGTACTTTACAGGGGGGAGATCTACTTATTCGGTTGGCTAAGTATTAAGTAAGAGAAAATATAATTAATTACTCGATACGAAATACCTTTCTTATATTTAATTTCAGATTGCGGCAGTATTCTACTATTTGTGCGTTGTGGCTTTGCAGTTTATTGTGCCGATGATCATATGTCTATTTTTTACATTCATGTATAAAACTCTAGGTAATACAGATATCACTAGAATATTATATTAATTACAATTATGATTTTCTAATTACTTTTATATATCAGGTGGTTATACATGGGAAGGGATTTTAAAAGGACCGTCACTCGAAGAATGTCCAGCTGATGAGCCACCAAAGTCTTTATCAAACATAATAAATGCCCATGATAATGAAAAAACTGTTGCGCAAACGGCGCAAGATTTTCAACTTGCTCTGAGTTCCTTAAAGCAGGTAACAGTTGCACTGTAGTTCTTGTGTTAAGAATACTTAATGTATGTGTAGTGTGTTAATATATACTTAACGTTAATAATAACGTTAATAATGTTAATATATATACTAAGAATATTTCTTGTACAACAGATATTCACTGTGGACGTATATAGAGGGTTATTAGGTTTAGCAACATGGTGGAGTTGTTTTGCATTGTTTGCAACTACCGCTATGGGTATGTTTTACCAATCATACTTCTCTAATATGTAAAACAAAGCTATGGTAGGCAGCATTTGTTGTCACTTCGCACAAATTTATGTCGTTAGTTGGTTTATCAATGCTAAGACCATTGGATTATTTAACAAATGTATCTTAAAAATGACTTATTTTGAAAATTGTACCTACATTAAGGTACGCACAATACTGGCTGTCTAATGGAAATGTTAATGCTAATTTGAAAAATTTTATAATATGCATAGCAATAAAAATCTTACAATTATAATATGTATAAATGCTATATCGAAATTATAAAATTTAAGATAACTACGTCTTTGCATTGCGATCTTTTTATTGGATACTGTATATAATATATAATACTTATATAAAAATTTAGAACATTTTATCATACTAAGTATTGTAAATTAAAAGAAATGAAAAGGAATTTAAAAGTGTTTTACAATTAAAAATAAGTGAGGCTTCCGAATGAGTACGAGATATAAATGAATCGAATCACTGCCAGTAAAATAATCTATTTAATATTCGACGAACGAATAACTGATTACAATTAATAAATCGTTTGCGTATCAGTTCGACGTTAGGGTAGATGAAAGTAACTTTCATCAATAATGTTACGATCATAAGCGGATCAAACAGAGATATTTCACTGCCTTGTACGTATTCGCTTTAATAGTATTTAATTAAAATCTTGTATATATTTCTGTACAAAGTGCTCATTAAAATTTTATGTACAAGAATTGATAATTTTATCGTCGATGTTTTGTGATCTCTAATGACCATTGCGTAAATTTGAACGAAGTTTTTCTCCCTGTCTCTTTTGTTCTTTACAAACCTAATTATTGTATAGTACATAAAATCACGATGTTCTATAAAAGGGAAAACTATATCGAGTAATTGTTATTCATGGACTGTGCCATCTCGGTATTTTGGAGAAAGTGTGATTCAACGTATTCGAAATGTGCCGATGCTATGCTACTCACGTATCAACCAGGTTGCTTCCGCGATATATAACTCCCCACAGAGTATCTTAGCGTCAGAATAGCTGCTTGATTTTCGTCGGTGATAATACTATCGTTTATTCTAGTGAAAAACTTTGAAAGTTCTTATAAAACTGCAAAATGTTGGTAAGTACCGCTATGTTACTATTTTCATTGCATGTTTTAATGAAAATTATTATTTTCAGAAATACGTAGTACTTTTTTGTATTATGCTTCTTTCGGTATATGCCGAACCACCCATTCAAGGTGTAAAGCCAACAAATGTACTTGGCACTTCTGATCAGCATGCATCTTTCAGCTTTATCAGACCGGGTTTAACACAAACAGCCTTCGCTTTTAGTGGCCCTAGCTCTCATCAATCGTTTAGTTCCAGTATTGGAAATCCTCATTTAGCACAAAAGGTTCTTCCAAATGTTGCTAATGCACTTGCTTACAAAAATCCTGGCTTAGGTTTGTAGTACATTCAAAATATTAGATACTTTTAGGAACTAGTTGTAACTGGCATACATTTATCATATCAGGTGTATTTCCGGTTGGTCCTGTCACACATGGTTATGCAACTGCACCAGTTGCACCCACTTTTGTTTCTCCTGCACCTGCACCGCTACCCTATCAAACCTCAATTGATCCAACTTCTGCACTAGCTTATTATCAACAGTTACAGCAATATCAGCAAGCCCAGTTACATGGATATTCTGCATCTAATGCGTATCAAGCACAATTAGCGCAATTACTTGCATTACGGCAAGCTCAAGCTCAAGCTCAAGCTCAAGCTCAAGCTCAAGCTCAAGTTCAAGTTCAAGAACATGTGCAAGCACAAGCACAACAAGTAAGAATGATATACTAAAGCTACATCGAGTCCTGCATTGTATAAAATTTAAATATGATTTTTGTTTAATAGTAATCATCTACAGGTACCTGAACAGATTCAGTTGCAGCAAGAACAACAACACCAAGCTCAGAATTTATTAGGAATTTCTTATTCCGCAGCACCTTCGGTAGCGCGGGTAAAAGTTGCCGGAAATGGTTATAAATTCGATTTCTAAGATATATAAAATCTCATTTCATATTAGTCAAATTACGTGAAGTGAAGCAACTTGAAACATTTCTTTAAGTTTCTATAGTCTTCCTTATTAGTTACTTGATTTCAAGTTGCTTAATTCATATAACTTGATTAATCTGAATAAAGCTTAAGTGCATTGTATGATAAAAGTTCCATATTTTATATCTTCATATTTTATTTATTTATTTACAGTGCAAATATGAATATTTTTGTACGTTACAGCAACTAAATAAATTGATCTGCAAATATTCAAATCATTTTTACTCCCTGTTCTTTATCTTATTAACTTTATATAGGTCTTGTGTATTTTATAGAATTATAATAACTTCAGTGAATCGCAAAAGAAAAATTAGACTTGCAAAGGCCCCGGGGGGATTCGAACCCCCGATCTCCTGTTTACTAGACAGGCGCTTTAACCAGCTAAGCCACGGCGCCACGCTTGATGGAATTTCTATCATAAACATTGATCTCGTTTCTTTTTTAATACAATGAAATATATTTCTATATTGTTTTCTACGAATTATATCTTCCGCTTAAGTGTAGGAATATAATAAAATTATAATATAAATAGAATAAAAGGCATAACAAAATAATATCATGTTACGTTCAAATATAAAATTTACATAGAAAGAGCTTATTTTTATTATTTGTTACTATTATATTTCATTTCATGTAAAAGCAAAAAAAGAGTATTTACTTCTTCTCTCTTTTGAGACAACATAACACCGCAGTCGGTAGGACTCGAACCTACGCTCCCAGAGGGAATCTGATTTCTAGTCAGACGCCTTAACCACTCGGCCACGACTGCCTCAGTTAGAACTCATTATATGATAGAAGTCAATATTCAGGATTCAAAATTAAATTTTAAATTTTATATTTAAAGAGTAAGAGATATACGCTTTACGAAGTACTATATTTAGTACGTATAATTACAACTACGCTTCCTGATGCTATTTTAAGACGCTCAGCTAATCTTTGGCTATAATACGATATAATCTATTCTCCACCATGAGAAAGAATGACTTTGTTACAAAAATGTTTTGGGTTTCGCAAATTCCTTCGACTTTCTTTATCTGTTATTCTATGTCTTTCTCTTCTAGGATGCTTTAGCGTAGCGAATACTTATCAGATATCTTCGGAAAAGCATAAATATGAGGAATAGCATGGACAGTCAGATTGGTCTTAGTTCAAATCCAACGATAGTTTTATAACGAGTCCCATAACAATAATCAGATTCCGGATATTTGAAAGCATCGGTTGAGATTTGGAAAATGAAACAACGCGACGCATGGTTCTCTTTTGGGACATTGCCTTCAGCTGTGTGTTGACTTGAGGGGCCGAAGACTACCGTCGATGAAGAATATTGTAAAATTAATTCTATATAAAAGCTATATGTTCTATATATCGCATTTTTCTTACAACACTGAAATTTGTTTAAATATTGTTAATAATATAAATTATTGTATTACAATTGCTAAAAAATGAAAAAATTTTTGACCCCGACGTGATTTGAACACGCAACCTTCTGATCTGGAGTCAGACGCGCTACCGTTGCGCCACGGAGTCGTTGGTGTCATCGATTGCTTCAATACATAATACAATGGATTATCTTTTATGATATATATACAGAACATTGAATTTTCATATAAAATTGATATTGAAATATAAATGAAATTGAATACGTCATTTTTTGAACAATTAATATTGCATATAACATAATAATTTATTTATTTATACGTATCATGCTTTTTTTTTTTTTAAGATGTTTATTAAACCCAAGACACAATTTTAAATACATTTTGGTATTCACAATAAACGGTGAATTTATGTAATGATATCTTAGGCAAAAGTACCGATACGCAACGGTACGACGTAGCCATGCTATAATATGTGTCGGCGCTTTACATTTTTCGTGTTTAATATAATTTTTTGGTTTAAGCCGCTGGAGGAGCGGAGCTTCTATGTGATTTTGTTTTTATTTGTTTTTACTGTCCTGAAAACTGGGTCGCAAAACAGGACGCTTCGGTAGTATATTATACGTATCATGCATCAAATAGAATATGATCTAGTATGCACGCTTTGTACAGAACAGATTTGAAGATTATCATTAATTAAAACATGAATGAAAACATGAAAACGAAACATGGGAACGAAATATAGTTTTTCTATTAAAAATATCTTCAAACAACTCAACCGTTTCCGATGTTGTCTTCTTAATATGCACGTATTAATTCTTAATAAGCACGTGATTTGTGCTCACATCCCGCATGCAAGCCTCGAATTACCCGAGAAACATATCTACCAGGAAGCTACCATTCTCCCTACGTTGAAAAGAGTTTCGCGCGGGTTGTCTCACAAAGCCCCTCCTAGCATCAGGATATCATGCAGTGATTGCAACGTTACCGGCGCATATGCTGTTACGATATTCCGTCATACCTTGACTTTCGCCCGTGAGGAATTTTTTCAACAGGAACGCATGCAGCCAACGGTAATTTCATGACGCCACCGATAGAAGCGCTAGTGTAAGCATTGAATTGTATATGTGTATACGCAGGCTCCTATATACATACTGAAAGCTTTAACTATGTATGTAGAGGCAAATCCCCCACCAGTGTTCCGAATCACATGTTAATTTTAGGGGAAAGCGTAATAAGATTTGATCCATTCGTGAATACCTGCTGGAAGAGTATTGCTACGTATTACTCTTATGAAATATAACGAAGAAATGATTAAGATTTACAGAAGAATTTTGTCTGTACGTACACGCACACGTAAGAAACACATTATTAATTCCAATTTTGGGGAAAAACGGTGTCACTGTCCCGTGATTGCACTTTATATCGTTCAGGTAAGGTTAGGACATTGGCACAATGCATTATCAAGCAAAATTCTAAAGCAGTAAGATGCGTATCGACATTGGAGACATATTGGAACCACAAATTTGCCAAAATTTCTAACCATACAGGGTTAACGAATCAATAAACAATGAAAAGAAGCTGTGTGACCCAATGAAGTACTGCTACGTCACAGAGGTGCTTAAGGCCCACTCGGCTCTTCCTCAAAATTGTGTCTTTCCAATCCGCGGCTAATATAACACACATAGAGGTATCATCCACTGCGTTTGACATCTACCGAAGATCATGCGTTCCTGTTCATGAATCGGTTAAATTGTTGATTATGTCCATTCTACCTACTAACTACAGATTTACTGGAGGATTATAAGTATGAATGTAAATAATTTGACATTCATACAACTCTACATACATGTGTAACTAATGTTCGATACGATAAGTACTTGCGTGACAAATGAACTCGAGGTGGCCTCATGGAGCGATCGCCACTGCATATAATCATGGAGGAGTAAACTATTGCTATCAATAGCAAAAATAATTTATCAACTTTTACACAATTAGTTTGTACAACAATAAATGTAGTTACGTATAAAAATAGTTATTGATTATTATTTTGGAAACCCAAAAATCAAACTCGAGGACGGAATGCAGCATGTAATATATTGAAAGAGGAAACGGGTTAGTCACGCTAAAGTAGCTTCCTTGACTAACATGTTAGCCTAATCTTAGGAGGGGCTAAATGAGACAGCCCGCGCGAATGTCGCTCAACTGTACGAGAGAGGAGAAAGGTGATTCATTCATGTTATCCTAATATTTCACGTCTTGTGTGCGGGATGTGAGTACGCACCGCATTTTGATGTAAAGAAAATGCGTAAATACTTACATATACGTTATGGAATTCATATAAATAGTAGTACACGTATATATTTCTAATTTAATAGAGCAAAATTGTCTAAAGAACATAAAAAGGGAGTATGAATAGAAATTTTTAAGGGACTTTATTGTAACCAAAAATTTCATTTTATTTCTACGAATAGTTGTTTTATAAGGATTTTAATATATTGACATAACTGTACGCCTACTTTTTAAATATTTCAAGAACATTGTTGGGAAGATAAAGGTAGATTAATTTATATTTAAATTCAAAAAAGGAAAAGATAAACGATTTATTGACCCCGACGTGATTTGAACACGCAACCTTCTGATCTGGAGTCAGACGCGCTACCGTTGCGCCACGGAGTCTTTATTTTGCCTCACTTTTATTTACTAAACTAAGAAGTAAAATATGTATATAACAAAGATCAACATTTTTTTGTATTATATCAAAATTTTTCATGCTGCTAGGCATAAAATTTTTCATATATAAACGATTTTACAAAGATCTTTACTATTCAAGTAAACAGAGGATTCGGGAGAGATATAGTTTCAAATCTTAAACATTTAACTTATTTGATATTTTCAAAGTAAATATACAAGATTGTGATATTAATGGTTATTCTGTTTGTTAAAAATTTTTTTAGGCAAACTCATCCTCACTTACACTTTCACAGGTCACATGTAATACATATGCATCTGTAATAAAAGTGTTCTACAGCTGAATAGTGCCAGGCTAAACTGATCTCGATGACTTAAAATTAAATGTTGCTCGAGTAATCTTTAATTAACTTCAGCATAAATAATTAAATTATGTTATAAAATTTGGTAAATCCCTGTTTATCTAATCACGCAGAAAAAATCTTTTGTACATTTTTATTGATTATACTTGGCATTAATATATTGTTCGGAATTTTGAGTGGCTCCGTTTATGGCTCCGTTTATCCCTTCTTTAGAAAATTCCGAATTATATGTCCTTCCCGAGCTGTAAACTTAATGACTCCGAGGTCAGATAACAAACTCGTGGGAAAACCCCAGCCGGGAAGGCACGATGGACAGACGAAACCCAACGGCTGGTAGGAAGAATCACCAACGTATATTAACATTGACCTAGTAAGGGTTTTATAGGGAAATTTTACTTATTTATGTAAATTTTTGAATAACATAGTCTTTTATATACAATTACTGTGAGAATCATTAGAATATTAGTTCTTAATAAATGATGTCTTGATTAATAAATATTTCAGTAAGAAACAGCCTTACAAAATGTTAAACAATATATAATGCAATAATTAAATATAATAAATATAGATGAGGGCTGCCATTTTTAGGAAAAGTATAGAGGGTTTATGTATACAGCTTCTGTAAAATTATATTCTACACGCATAAATATAACGAATGTTTTGTATCTATTCATTGGGTGTGGCTTGTGGTGGCATCTTCAGAATGAAACATCTATTAGGCTAACATATTATTCAGAAGCATTGTCACATTCTAGTTACATCGGTAAAATGGACTCCGTATGACATAAAAGATAAGCGGCCATCTTTCTATCCGGAATAAGAAAGTACATGAGAGAAAGCATAGGTGTCGCTAACTGTGATGAAGAGGAGATAACTTCCTTCTAATACATAGTTTCCTAATAGGTGTGAACCACGGCGCCGCGTGCCGACGCAACCCATTGGACCTTCAAGGGAGTTGCTACCACCGTCTTCTTCATTAATTACGCGTCGTTGATTTATGAAGGTTGGTCGAAATACAATTCATGAACTTATTACATGTTAAAGTATTACAAAAGAAGGCAAAAAGAAATGGCAGCGGTGGGATTCGAACCCACGCCTCCGAAGAGACTGGTGCCTTAAACCAGCGCCTTAGACCGCTCGGCCACGCTACCAGTGATAACTATTTTTCCCGTGGATATCATAAAGAACCTTAATAACCTTCTTAAAACAAAGTCATGTTTTACATACAATATCATGTTATTGTCATGTTTCCGTGGCTGGTCTTCATTCGGCACTCTAAATCTGTTAACTTTTGTTATAACACATGATAGTCTTTAACAAGAAGAATTCATAAATACTAATTCTAAGGAGACCATTATTTTAAAGGTTATACGTGCCTTACTTTTTACTTTTAAATTACTTTTAAAGTTGGTGTATATTATACAATTATCTTAGACATACATGTTTTATGGTTTATATGCATCGCCAGGAGTTCGATTAGCAGAATGGATTTTGGTTTAGGTTAGGTTTAATTTATATTATAATATATTGTAGTATCCAAATAAACTATGCGTGAACTTTATATGCTCCTAAAATAATGATCTTCGTGTTTTAAAACTGGAATTTTTCCACTCTATTTGTCAAAAACTATCATATTAGAAAGAAATAGGTTACAAATTCGATGTGTCACAAATCAAACTTCAACGCTTCTCATTATTTGTTTAATGATCAATTGTCATTGTCTTACAAAGATGTATGAAAAGTATCTCCAAAGGGAAGTATTTCTATGTAGAATTAGAAAAGCCTGTTGAATTGCTTTCAGTTAGTAGAAACATCGTGTTCACGTGATTCTTTTAAGAACGCTTTCCAAAAGATACCGGCGGAGGTGCTCGCGGGTAAACTAGGGTGGGTGGTGAGTAAGTGGTCCATATATAGAAGCGCCCCCACATTTACCAACACGAGCGCACACCTGTCACGAATATATACGCAGCACGAGGACCGAGGCGCACACTTTTTGAGCTTGAGTTGCTTAAGCTCTGCCGGCTTCACGTTTCTACGTTTTGGGTATTGCAAAATAACAGTCACAATCAGCGTTCATCATGCCTGGACGTCCGCTTTGGCAGGTAAATTGCGTTTGAAAAATTTTCATTTTTACCTACTGACGTTGTCGCGCATTTAACATACTTATATAGATTCGCGCCATTCAAGTATGGACGTTATGGAGCTGCTCGCACCAGTTGGTATAACCTGTAAATTGTAATCCACATTAGGCTATTGATTTTTTATGATCAAGTGATTTTATATCTTATGTTATAAAAAAAGTTTTCAAAGTAATCTTCTTTTAACTGCATATTCTCCATATTAACCTGCATTTCGAAATCATTGTATATGCTACGCCATGCGATAATGCGATTCATAGTATTTGTTCAATATCATATATTTGTTTACACCATGAATTATAATTGTAAGACATTATAGATCAATAGATAACAAAAAAATAATTTTTTTTCGAAAAATGGAATATTCTTGATAGACGATGATCTTTACAGACGTAGGAGAAATGTTGACTGCTTTATATACTGAAAATTCATCTATTTCAAACGTCTGACTCAGGATACATTTTTGCAATACTTTTTCCAAATTTTCGTTGAAGTGCTTCTAATTCTGTACAAGTTATAAACTATGAATCATTCGATGCACCGTCATCTACACTAATTTAATTTACATTTGACTCATATCTCTTTCATGTAAATGAGATTACATTTCCACGTTATATCATTCGTGTTAAATAAAACAAATTTTGGATATCCAAAAAATTTTTCATAGGATTTTTTAGTAATTAGACGATATAGAATATTTCATATGATATCGTAACATGAAGTATAAATGTTTTGGTATGTTAATGCAATATCATAACACGAGTCCAGTATTGGCTGTCTGCTGGTATACCGCGGACTTCCAAAAATAACGCAAAGGCTTGCCAAGCTAAGCGAAAGTTTCAATCGAATACTACGGTATGGTCATATTAAAAGAAGGAAAAAGTAAAAGAAAGAAATTTGTGTTATGACGACGACATCAAGTATGGTGCAAACTTTATTTACAAACAAGTCGTGAATATTCTAGCATCTGATCTGAAATTAATTTCATGTTTAAGTTCTTTAAAACCAAACGGATTCAGATGATTTCTGGAAAGTCGAATGATTTTCCAAATTAAATAACAGTTTCAGCAGTCAGAATAAATTATCTGTTTTTAAAAATTAAGAACAAGAATAATCAACATTTATCCTTAGGGACTATTACAGATGAAAGTTCACTGCAACATATTTTTTCTAAATTAAAATATTAATACAGTTAACAAAGTGGAGACATGTACGTTTTGTTACTGCCTAATACTAAATGAGAAATAAAAAAAATTATTGTTTGCACAGGTTACAAATAATAATAT